TTAAAAATACCAGGGCAGGAGTAGGGGTGTTAAATGAAAATGATGTGTGCAGTGCTCTCATTCCGTTTCGGTTTCTGCAGGTTCCCCGATTTCCCGGTACCGGGCGAGCGCAGGGCGCGCCGCCCCTCCTCTCCTGCGCCGTCACTGCGCAGAAATGGAACCGAAACTACAGCGCCGACACGACACCGGGCTTTCTTCCGACCCCCCCAGCCGGCGCTGGGCCGAGAGAGACGGCTGACCCGACCCGCTGGTCCGCTGGATCCAACGCAAAAGTAAGCGCGGCCGACCGAACGTGTGCAAAGCGAAGTACAGTTTTAGGACTTAAGACAGCAACGTTTTGTGTAAAGAAATGAGAAAATGTACCATACTAAATCGCCGGTCCTGCTGCTCTTTTATCGCGATGAAGTTCATTCTGTGCTGAGCTCGAGTGTTGTTTTGGCTCTACCGAGTTATTTGTCTAGATTGTGGGGAAAAGGGCGTTTGTAATAATATTTGAATACGATAATAGAAGTTTTTTTTTATGGAAGCCCGTTTTCGCCAGGGAGTGAAAAGAAACGCGCTGTGGTATCTCGCAATTGCGACTTAATATCTCAAAATTCCGACTTTATATCTCGCAATTGCGACTTTTTATCTCACATTTGCGACTTTTTATCTCACATTTGCGACTTCGAAATAGCCCGCATTTCATTGTCTGTCCTCTTGTTGTTGTATCGGATTCGGGTTCCGGGGCTTGTGCCCTCGCCGCTCCCACCCTAGTTCGTGCCTCACTGCACGGGCTCGAACCCGGGTCTTGCCCGCTGAGCTCAAGAAGACCCTCTTTATCCCCGGCGGCCAGCATCCCTGTTATGCGCAGGGGAGGGCGGTTATGCAACCAGATCGTACGACCTGTATGTCGGCCGTTCCGTTACACTATATTCATAAACCGTACATTATCATAGGATCTATAGGCCTGAAGACTTGTCTTGTACAGTACAAGACCCGGGTTCGAGCCAGTGCAGCGAGGCACGAACTAGGGTGGGAGCGGCGAGGGCACAAGCCCCGGAACCCGAATCCGATACAATAACAAGAGGACAGACAATGAAATGTGGGCTATTTCGAAGTCGCAAATGTGAGATAAAAAGTCGCAATTGCGAGATATAAAG